GCCGTCTCCAATTGATAATAATTTTTGAATAATTCATCTTTAAGTTCGATCCAAAGGTATTTCAAATTTGAATCAGCTGATGCGGATTTTTGTTTTGGAGAGTTCAAGTTCTCCGACGCAGTTAAAATTGATCATTTAGTCTGGTTTGAGAATGGGCTCTATACTCACTAGCTGTCTGTAACTTTTCTGGAAAATATTGTTTCAAGGATTTTTTGAGGTTCAATAGATGTTCATTTATGGTTTTATCCATGTGATGAAGTCACTTGTAACTCGTTTTCTTCGATAAATCTGTTTCGAAGAGGAAAAAATTCATAGGTAACTTTTTTCTTCAATACATTCGATCCAGAAGCCAAATTTGCTTTTTTTTATCGTTAGAGATATTTTGTATCTCACTGTAAACGTAGTTGTGATTCCTCACCGTAAAAGTGGTTGTCCAGCTGTTCCTCTCGAAAGCCATTTCATTTCCGTGTGTAGAAGGAGTGATGATGATGTTGACTTTCTATATCATCCCGCGGACCCGTGCGATCTTTCACGGAACACCATTTGGGAACCGCTGGTCTAGAGACTGAGATGTTGATGCTTAACGTTTCGTCAACGGCTGTGGTTGACATCTTCAGAGGTGCTGAGAACGCGCAGTAGATTTCTATCTCGAAGTGTTATTCTCGGCTATCCCTGTCGTTGTCATCGACCTCTTCATCAAGGCCCAAGAGCCCGGAAGATTAGTATAATAGTATTAGATGTTTGTTGTATTTTATTTTTTCAACTGTCGAATGTCATTATATTATTTGATTAACAATAGTGAAATTCATTAAATGCTATACAAAGTTTCACTTCTAACGCTGTTAGTTTTGACTGACGCATATTTCATGTATTATTTAATTTTAACTTAAAACACTACAGATTTATAGACCCTTGATGATTTAAAGCCTAGTCATAAACGAATGTGTTGCTATACATATACCTTTTACTATAAAATTTATCAAATAACAAATCAATATGTGTGGTACATACCGTTAGTGTGCCGTTTAACAACAAAAGGTACAAATAAAAAAATAAAAACAGATTCTTACTTAAATAAATATATGCCATAAACAGAAGGAAATTTAATGCAAATTTTACTGCCATTTTTGCGCATTTATTAAGTCACCTGGAATTTTTTTCTTTAATTCGCGCTTATATAGTATAACAGTAGGAAATGAAAGGATAGCAAAATGATAGAATTTCCATGTTTATTTTATCATCGAAATGTACCGTACACATTATCTACAAATAATGTAAATTATCTTTTTTTTTTATGAAAGTCACAGTAACAAAGTGTGTTGTTACATTAACGAGATAATTTACAAAAGATATCAGAAATTAGTTACAACCACAAACGTCAATAGAAACAATGTCCCAGATAAACGAAAATTGACCGAGTACCAAAATTACCTCATCATCATCATAAGGTCATCAGACCTAAGACTGGTTGGACACGTACCTCCACTCTTTCCTATCCTGAACTAAACTTCTCATTTCCCTAAAACTAGAACAGCCCACATCCTTAACTATTTGCGAAGAGTAATCTAATCTAGGTCTACCTCTAACCCTCCTAACTCCTGCTTCTGCCTCTAATATGTCTCTGACTAGACCTTCATGCCTGAGAAGGTGTCCTACCAACCTATCTCGCCTATTTTTTATTGTCTTCCATAGAGTCCTCTGTTCTCCTATTCTTTCCAATACCTCTTCATTTCTAACCTTTTCTACCCACGATATCCTCATCATCCGCCTATAACACCACATTTCGAACGCTTCTAACCTTTTCTTTTCCGCCGCCCCTACTGTCCATGTTTCGTACCCGTACAACGCCGTGCTCCAAACATACACCTTTAACAACCTTTTTCGAATTTCTAAATTAACCGTTCGCGAGCATAGAAGTAACTTCTTTTTATTAAAGGCGACACGCCCCTGCGCTATCCTCTGCTTTATATCCCTACTACTCCTTCCATCCTCACTTATCTGACTTCCTAGGTATCTAAAATCAGCCACTTCTTCTAATTTTACGTCTCCTATCTTTATATTCGCTCTTTCTCTACTTTTTCTTCTCTTGCATACCAAAAATAGTATTTATTTAAATTTTTATTTGATTAGTAAATAGATTCCTACTCAAATAATCATTTCCCATAAACCAAAGGAAAATTAAAACAGATTTTACTGCTATTTTTGCGCTTTTCTTAAGTCATCAATTACAATTTTTTTCTTTAATGCTGGCTTATACCGAGTCTACGAAATAAATTACACACACACTTTATAGTTAGATTATATAGCATTTGGAGGTAAAAAGATAGCAAAATTATGGTACTATCATACAGTATCCTGCGCATTATCTATAAACAATGTAACTATAACTTGTTTAAAAATTATCTTATTTCACAGTAACAAGGTGTCTTACATTAACGAGATAATTCACAATAGATATGAGAAATTAGTTACAAACACAAACATAAATAGAAATAATTCACAGATAAACAAAAATACCAATATTAACCGACAAACAAGAAATGTTCGTACATTATTTTTTCTGCCTTTAAAAAAGTGCTGCTTCTTAAATACAGGGTTTGTTTAAAAAGTATCGAGAAGCTTCAAGCTCCAGGGGGCACTTAATTTTTTGTTCAAGGGTGGTACTTAAACGTTTAGTCAACTCCATTTTTAAGTTAGGGTATCTATCTTGAACCACTGGATTTTTATAGCGTATTTTGTCTTAAGATGATCGGCGACACATACCCAAACTGAGTTTCATCTGTAGTTATCCGTAATTTTACGATCTTCTGTCCAAAATGAAGGTACTCATACATTAATTCGGTTGACGGAATTGGCCAAGGATGGTGCTGGAAACGATTAGAATATTAGTGGTCGCCATCCTTCGAGTTAACGAAGTTCTGCGGTGTCACCAATTTAGGTACCAATAATAGTAGATACCAATTTTAGTTAACTTTTATTGAAGTATATTTTTAATTCACATATTAAGGGTCATACTAATTCTGTGCATAGTAACCGGTAAACTGATTTTTTTAAAAATGACATATTTTAGACCCATAGGTAACTTTTTTCTTCAATACATTCGATCCAGAAGCCAAATTTGCTTTTTTTTATCGTTAGAGATATTTTGTATCTCACTGTAAACGTAGTTGTGATTCCTCACCGTAAAAGTGGTTGTCCAGCTGTTCCTCTCGAAAGCCATTTCATTTCCGTGTGTAGAAGGAGTGATGATGATGTTGACTTTCTATATCATCCCGCGGACCCGTGCGATCTTTCACGGAACACCATTTGGGAACCGCTGGTCTAGAGACTGAGATGTTGATGCTTAACGTTTCGTCAACGGCTGTGGTTGACATCTTCAGAGGTGCTGAGAACGCGCAGTAGATTTCTATCTCGAAGTGTTATTCTCGGCTATCCCTGTCGTTGTCATCGACCTCTTCATCAAGGCCCAAGAGCCCGGAAGATTAGTATAATAGTATTAGATGTTTGTTGTATTTTATTTTTTCAACTGTCGAATGTCATTATATTATTTGATTAACAATAGTGAAATTCATTAAATGCTATACAAAGTTTCACTTCTAACGCTGTTAGTTTTGACTGACGCATATTTCATGTATTATTTAATTTTAACTTAAAACACTACAGATTTATAGACCCTTGATGATTTAAAGCCTAGTCATAAACGAATGTGTTGCTATACATATACCTTTTACTATAAAATTTATCAAATAACAAATCAATATGTGTGGTACATACCGTTAGTGTGCCGTTTAACAACAAAAGGTACAAATAAAAAAATAAAAACAGATTCTTACTTAAATAAATATATGCCATAAACAGAAGGAAATTTAATGCAAATTTTACTGCCATTTTTGCGCATTTATTAAGTCACCTGGAATTTTTTTCTTTAATTCGCGCTTATATAGTATAACAGTAGGAAATGAAAGGATAGCAAAATGATAGAATTTCCATGTTTATTTTATCATCGAAATGTACCGTACACATTATCTACAAATAATGTAAATTATCTTTTTTTTTTATGAAAGTCACAGTAACAAAGTGTGTTGTTACATTAACGAGATAATTTACAAAAGATATCAGAAATTAGTTACAACCACAAACGTCAATAGAAACAATGTCCCAGATAAACGAAAATTGACCGAGTACCAAAATTACCTCATCATCATCATAAGGTCATCAGACCTAAGACTGGTTGGACACGTACCTCCACTCTTTCCTATCCTGAACTAAACTTCTCATTTCCCTAAAACTAGAACAGCCCACATCCTTAACTATTTGCGAAGAGTAATCTAATCTAGGTCTACCTCTAACCCTCCTAACTCCTGCTTCTGCCTCTAATATNAAATTGCAATTAGATGAAAATAATTTACTGAACCATTGAAGGTGTCAGTTATGTAGAAAAGTACTTATGTACATATAAAATGTAATGGTGTCTTCAGATTTTGAGTGCGATGACAAATAACTCCACTGCTGAATTGTTTAAAGTTGAAATACGAAGAACAATTTAAATATAAAAAACGATCGTTCAAAATATAAATTATATTATTCTGGAAAACTTTTTATTTATTTACTTATTTTACTGTCCACAACCACACCTTTAATTATAAGAAAACACTTACAGCAATTTTTTTTTGCAATTACGTAATTATATATTTGTAGTTTCCCTGAAAAGAATTCCCAATCAAAAAAATTTAACCGTTCAAATTCAGTTGATAATTACTTCTGCAAATTTCAAAGTGAGTTACAAAAAAACATACAACTTGTTTTTCATACAACACATGTATTATTATCTATACTAAATGCATCATTAATAAGTATTGGTTCGTTCTTCATTAACAGAATATCAATTTGACCTCGTATAACCTATCGTGGATAAAAATGTATTCGTATACATAGCAGTGCCATGTTTATTATTTGCAAATTGGAAAAGGGGAAATACAAATGGATAAAGAAAAATACCCACTCAAGTACGTTTTTTAACTGAATGATCACAAGATTGGTAGACATATAATACGGTATATAAAAAGGATCAATTGTTGAACGAAGACTAGAACAAATCGCTCCAAGTGGGACTTACAATCTCCAATACCACACTGATTAATTCAAGTTCGTGTATTTCTTAATAAAACGTCGAAAATGTTGATGAAACTATTAGCTGCAGTTGTAGTTGTTTGCATTCTTATTGAGGCAAATAATGGTGCCCCCGTTGAAGAAATAGAAGAAGGTAAGATTACCTTTCCAAATTTTCTTATGAGAGATAAGTTCCTTTATTTATTGTTGTTAATAATTTTTAATTTTCTTATTATTGGGAGCAATTTCAAAAATATGATCGGAAAAGAAATCGTTAAACTTGAAAGTAAAACTAAGTATTTATTTTTGTTTTTATTTAGATATAATTGTCTTAAGTGTGGCTTATAAAATACTTTGATAATAATGTGAATTAATACTAAAGAAATCATTCAACAATGCATCCTCTCTAGCAGTTCCTCATTCTGAAAAGTTCTTTTGGTTTAATTTATGTCAGGTGGTCCTAGTGGACGGACGTAACTTTTTTTATTAGGTCCAAAGAGAAAAATTATTTTTCGTCCTCCTATCGGTATTGTGTGATCAAATTCACCAAATAATATAAAAACTAAGCATTGCACACGTTGCAAGCATTGACATTGACTGGTTGGACACGTACCTCCACTCTTTCTTATCCTGAGCTAAACTTCGCATTTTCCTAAAACTAGAACATCCCACATCCTTAACTATTTGGGTAGAGTAATCTAATCTAGGTCTGCCTCTACCCCTCCTAACTCCTGTTTCTGCCTCTAATATGTCTTTGACTAGACCTTCATGCCTGAGAAGGTGTCCTACCAACCTATCTCGCCTATTTTTTATTGACTTCTATAGAGTCCTCTGTTNTAAACAAAAAATTAAATCTACATCTATATTATTTATTATTTTTTGGTTAAACAGAATATTAAAACAGAATTAACAGATAAAAAAACATAGTTAGGTGCATAATATGATTATTAAAATACATGTATGTAATCACTTAATTCTTCTGTTATTTATTTCTTTGTATTAGGCGAAATTTAAGGGGTTGTTCAGGCACATACGTAGGAGTAATTTTGTAAGTAAAAGGCTCATGGTGGTATTCCACTTTGTATTTACGAAATATCTGCAAAAAAATTGTTTAATTTCGTTAAGTTACATTGTGATTTTAAAAACATAAAATTTAATAAAAAATGGCGAATGCGCTAGGCAACAATTATAAAAAAATACCAACTAGGTACCTACCTTTGCAAGAAGTATTTGAAGTTCAATTTCCGCGAAACGCCTTCCGAGACAGGACCTTCTACCATATCCAAAAGGCAATGAAACGAAAGGGTGGATTTTGTGAGCATGCTTGCACCCCCCATCACTGTCTTTCAATTTTAACCACCGGCCAGGTAAAAATTCGTTAGGATTTTTGAAATATTTTGTGATATTGCTTACAACCAAATGCGGAAATATAACATGCGTCTAAATAACGAAAAAAGAAAGGGGTATCAATCTTTTATTTATTATTAATATTTCACATATGCTTTTTGAAGTGAGATATTCTTTGAATTTGGAATACAAGAAGAAAATAAAAAACGCTCACCCCTTTTGGTACCATATATCCTTCTATAATTGTATCAGAAGTTAAACTTCGTCCATTTCCAATTATTACAGGGTACATTCTGCCATATTAACACTATCCCTACAGTTGTACTGTCTTTAATGATGTTGATGGCGTCTTCGATGTATAGATTAAAAAGTAACGGTGACAGTGTACATCCCTAATTATTGTACGGACTTATTAAAGAAATTGCATTATTTACGTTCCACTTACAATAAATTTAATTATCTAAGTGCCGTATAGAATAGTTTGTTAGTTACTCAGGGGTAAGTTTGTAATATTCACTCACCTACTTTGTGAAATTTGTGAAAACGCAATTTTAATGAGGGGCGAATGAAATACAATTTGCTAGGTAAAGATGAGACTTGGAAATTTTGTGGTAGGCAAAGCTTGAAGAAAATAGAATTTCGGCCGATAAAGTTAGAGGGTGGTAAACTTTTGGGGAGAATAAATAATCGGCGCGGATGAAGTTAGTCTCAAAGTAGGGCTCGCAATCTCCATTGGGATCGCGAAAAACATTGCGGATGCCAGAAAAGCTGATTATTATAAGTCAATTAAAACGTAATATTTTGATTTATCGAATGATAAATATTTGAGTAATGCTAATGTAGGTTGTTTGGTACCGGTACACAAAAACTCATCAATCATTTTTAACGTAAGTCATCTCGAGTCTTGCCCCAAGATATTAAAACTTGGAGATATCCTAAAGGAAAAAAATTTTTTTTTTTGGATTTCGAGATTGAGATTTATTATAAAAATTTTAACGTGCTGGAGCAATTCTGAAGCCATATTTGTACTTCTGTCGCAAATTACGTCATAAATGATTGCCTTTTTTTGTTTTCCTTTTCAGTACTTGGTTTTGTTGACCTGTGTTTTTATTGTTAATAACAAAATATGTCAATCATCTAATAAATATTATGAGGGTTTCAAAGCAATTAAACAGAATAAAATATTTCCTACTGAATTTAATAGAACCGCCTTGACGATGTTTTTCTATAATATCCTTTGAAATTTTGAAATGCCAAATGGTATTGTGGACTAAAAAGTTTAAGACGAGTGCTAGCCAAAAATAAACAATAATTAGTATATTATCAATTATTCTTTTTAAATTTATTGTTGTACATTTTATAGGTGTACATACAGCGCAGGTTATTCGAACCAAAAGAGCCACATGTGATCTACTGAGTGTTCAAGCATTTGGAGCTTCTGTAGGACATTCTGCGTGCGCTGCTCACTGTTTAGCCATGAGAGGTGGAAGAAAAGGTGGTTACTGTAGCAGTAAAGGAGTCTGCATTTGTAGATTTTAACTCTCCTCAATCTCAAACACTGATATAACAATTTAACTGTTGCTTTCATGTTACACGAACAAATTGTGTTTAATATATCTTAAAATATAAAAAGTATATTTCAGTAATGTATTTTCATTTAATACTTCTGTTCGGATGGGGTTGGCCTTGTAAGGGCTCGTATCAGGCACTATCCTTCTGCTAACTATAAGCAGTGCAGAAGAAAGTGACACCACCAAAACTAGGTAATTAGCGGTGCTATTTGTTATTGAAATTAAGAACGCATAGACGTTTAATTTACTTTAGAATTTTATATTGCACTTACATCTACTGTACACTTTAATTTACAATATGGACCATGCACATCGAACCCGTTTACCTGGAAATATCTTAAGCTATCTTAGAAAACTTGTAAATTGTCTTTTTTTTATGTGAGCTTAACTTGAATATGTAAATAAAGAGGGTGGACTGTAGGAGTCCCTTCCTAAATATAAATATAAAAAATAATGGTGTATGTTTGGAGCGCGGCGTTGTACGGGTGCGAAACATGGACAGTGAGCGCGGCGGAAAACAAAAGGGTAGAAGCGTTTGAAATGTGGTGTTACAAGCGCATGTTGAGGATATCGTGAATAGAGAATTTTAGACATGAAGAGGTATTAGAAAGAATAGGAGAACAGAGAATTCTATAGAAGTCAATAAAAAATAGGCGAGATAGGTTAGTAGGACACCTTCTCAGGAATGAAGATCTAGTTAGAGACTTATTAGAGGCAGAAACAGGAGTTAGGAGGGGTAAAGGTAGACCTAAATTAGATTACTGTTCGCAAATAATTAAGGATGTGGGTTGTGCTAGTTTTAGGGAAATGCGAAGTTTAGCTCAGGATAGGAAAGAGTGGAGGTACGTGTCCAACCAGTTTTGGGACTGACGACCTTATGATGATGATGATGATGAAAAGTCTAAACAAAAAATTAAATCTACATCTATATTATTTATTATTTTTTGGTTAAACAGAATATTAAAACAGAATTAACAGATAAAAAAACATAGTTAGGTGCATAATATGATTATTAAAATACATGTATGTAATCACTTAATTCTTCTGTTATTTATTTCTTTGTATTAGGCGAAATTTAAGGGGTTGTTCAGGCACATACGTAGGAGTAATTTTGTAAGTAAAAGGCTCATGGTGGTATTCCACTTTGTATTTACGAAATATCTGCAAAAAAATTGTTTAATTTCGTTAAGTTACATTGTGATTTTAAAAACATAAAATTTAACAAAAAATGGCGAATGCGCTAGGCAACAATTATAAAAAAATACCAACTAGGTACCTACCTTTGCAAGAAGTATTTGAAGTTCAATTTCCGCGAAACGCCTTCCGAGACAGGACCTTCTACCATATCCAAAAGGCAATGAAACGAAAGGGTGGATTTTGTGAGCATGCTTGCACCCCCCATCACTGTCTTTCAATTTTAACCACCGGCCAGGTAAAAATTCGTTAGGATTTTTGAAATATTTTGTGATATTGCTTACAACCAAATGCGGAAATATAACATGCGTCTAAATAACGAAAAAAGAAAGGGGTATCAATCTTTTATTAATTATTAATATTTCACATATGCTTTTTGAAGTGAGATATTCTTTGAATTTGGAATACAAGAAGAAAATAAAAAACGCTCACCCCTTTTGGTACCATATATCCTTCTATAATTGTATCAGAAGTTAAACTTCGTCCATTTCCAATTATTACAGGGTACATTCTGCAATATTAACAGTTATAATGGAACAAGAAGTTCGAAACGTAGTGTAATACTTCCCCTTTTGTTTTATATTTAATTAAATAGGTACCTACATATAAAGTTAGTGGATCTAACAAAGTAATTTTCAGTTTCTGATATTGATTTTAAAGTACTCCTTCAAATTGTAAAACAAATCTAAATTTAGTCGTTAGAGTTTTTTTTTTAAAAGTTTAGTTACATTATAATAACAGCAAGGCAAAAATATCACCAATTCACAGACCAACAAAATCGGAGGGATTATTAAAGAGGGTGGTCATTTCTAATGCAATACGTGACACCAAGTCCGAATCTAGCTTCAGAATTCATTCAGCACGTTAGAATTTTAAGGTGTCCTACCCTCAAAACAGAAAACAATTTGGCCTTTTCGAGAATTTGAAATTAGAATATTTTGAAATTCTAACGTATTCAGGCAATTTTAGGGCCTGATTTCAACACCACTTGTTACTAACTACGTTGGAACCTCAGAGGATATGGAACAACATAAGCGTAGCTAGGATGAGTAGTTCCTACACACCAAAACTCATTATCCACCCCAGAAAAGTCGACAATATTGAAGAAATATGAATTTTTCATTATTTTTATTTTGAGAAAAAAATTCAGTAATATTCCTCGTAAAACTATTTTGCCATCCTCCCTAGGCTAAACTTAAACAACAAATAAAACATTTTAAGAGTTAACTTCTAATTGAATTACCAAGATTGGATTATTGCGGTGGTTCCGTAAAAAACTCCCTAGCTACGCCAATCCACGCAGAGTAACAGTACCCCCTATAATGCCTCAAAAAGCTCTGCATTAATCATTTTACATTCCTAATCCATGTTAGTCAGTATTAGATATGCTTCATGATTAGCTCGAAAAAACGAAAAAGAAAAATAATTTTTGACAATAAACCTGTTTACGTAGGTGCGTGGTGCTGTTTAAAAAAATACTTTTGCTTTCTAACTACCATATGAACAACCTGAAACGTTTTTCTTATTTGTACAAACCTTAATGTTTCCTTAATGCATGCCTTTAAATAATGAAACTTTTCCAAAGCTGCTTCGTTAATTGCAGTGTCCGAATCAGGGAGTGCTTCATTAAGCTCTTTAAATAGTTTTTCTTGTTTTTCAGGGTTGATTGCTAGCTGATACAGGGTTGAAGCTACTGCTATCGACGTCTAAATTTATCAAAATTTACAATTACGTTCATTTTTTTTATTAATTAGAAAGAACTTGTATTTTGAAGGATCATTCTTTGCCAATAGCACAATTAAGTAATTTTCTTGCTAGTTAGAACATAAAAACAAAACATCAGCTTTTTAAGGTAATGTAGAGCACTTTTCTTATGATACCTATATATGCTCATTTCTTAATAAGGGGGTGAGTGGGGAAATCGAAGAGAATGTAGGCCTACCCATGTAGAAACTGCCAGAGTTGACGATCGGATGAACTTTGGCCATACAATGGGTTTACCTGAATTGAAAAATTATTAATTAATATTATCATTGATAATAATTAATAATAATCTATCTGTTAATATTTCTGGAGCTCCAGGTCATGACAGCGGACGATGTAATAAGCGGTCAGAAAAGAAATAAAGATGAATTACATTTTTATAAATATTTATGGAATTACTTAAACTTAAATAAGTTTTGGTTACTCCATATTCTTTTATTTGTCCGTTACTATTTTTCCCAGAATGTAGAATACATTAAGCAAATTATATCGTCAAAACCAAGCGGTTAAGCCGACATTTTTTACAATTTTGCCCCTTTTTCCTTTATCGCGAAATAGGACCAGATTCTGCCTATGTATCATATAAGAAAAATGCTCTAAATTACTCAAAAAACTAGTGACCCAGCAACACAAGATTGGAAAGACATGTTTTTTGCACATCAACTCCCCAACTATAGATACTAATTGTAAAAATATTACAAAAAGTACTAAAAAATATCCAAAAATTCATAAAGCCGTTGCGGAACATACATAAATTTTATTAAAGGCCTTAAAGAGAACAAATATGAATGTGATGCATAATAATAATAAACAAACAAAAAATGATCCTTTTGAACTCATTTGATTTTTTAATCATCTACTTACTGTGTCCACTCCAACGAGAAGTAGATCTAATGCTAAAACTGCAGCAGTTTTGCTGCTTCCAGTCTTTTTTAATATCCTCTCCAAAATTGAAGCATTTCCATCTTTCTTACTAACTATATTCGAATTGGCCTTTGTAATCATTGCTCTGCTAATATTTCTCATACAAAGACTACAAATTAATACAATGAAATTACGTAAGTATACCTACTCGAAGAGAACAAAGAAAGGGGTTGAGTTATCTTATATCTTGGTTGTATGGGTCAATAGAGAAAATTCAAGAAAAAAGGACAGAATTACAAGAAATTTAATACATTCCCTTGAAGGAGTTAAAGGAGAGCTCATTTGAGATCGATTTTGCCATGTGCTACCCTAACCGATAACTATTAGTTTTTAAGATAATTTAATTTTTCATTCTACCTTTGAATGTGAATTTTTGACCAAAAGAATGAGTTCCTTAAAAAATCTTTTTTTGTTAATTTTACCTCAAGTCGGTAGGGTGGGGGATGCTTTGTACATAATTATTGAAAATTTTAATAGAATGAGGAATGCTAGAATTAATTCTATTTTTGTAGATTACCTATATTTTCGGTCTATTCCAATCTTTTATTTTTATTAACATGACTTCATTCGCTCTTTTTATTTCTCAAAAATAAAGTAGGTAAACGAAAAATGAAGCCGTTTTGGAGCAGACATAAACTTTCTTTCGTTAATTGTGTTCTCATTCTGTTGTCGTATGAATAATAAACTTGCAATTAAAGTGAACATAATAGGTTCATGGAGAGAAAGTTGAACTTGACTTTGAAAACGTTCTCTTGTTTGTATACATATATCGCAAAAGTGAGTAGCGGATATACATAAATAATAATAATTACATAATAAACATTCAAGCCTCATTTCATGTTACACAACTTAATAACGAAAGGTCAGTGCACCATATACCTACTGACAAAGTTTGCTTTCTTCTTTCTCAGATATATAAATTGTTTTAATGGTAAACATAATATGAATTAAAGGTTACGTTTTAAAGATAACTGACGTTTAAAAATTTAAATAATTTACGACTCAATTATTGTTTATATTTTGGATTATCCATCACATTTTGAAATCCCTTTAAAACTTTTGGATAATAATTGCTTAGTGACATGCTTATACGTGGATATCATAAATGTATATTTTGAAGCAAATTATTTAAAATTGTGGTTTTAATTTTGTTTATTGAATTTAAAAAAGGATATAATCGATTGAAATAAGCAATAAAATATTTTTTACGGTTAAAATTAATTACCTACAGAAAAGTTTAAATAGTAAAACTATTATTATTTGAAAGGATACATCACCTTATCGATCGAAAAAAAAAAATTATTGACTATAAGACCAAGATGAAATACGTATAAATAGTTATTTGACTTTGCTTTAATTATTACGATTACTCATTCCTGTAATTATTAATTTAACATTTTATTTGTTTACTTACGTTCTGAAGTCTTCTAATGCTCCGATATATTTTCTGAAAGGTTTATTTTTATATATTCTCCAAATGGGCATTTTTAATTCTACTTCTGCTACATTCCAAAAAAAAGTGTTTATAGAATCTATAATCTTCTGGGACTCGGAATCCTTTGGAAGATTAGGCTCCAAACATCCCAATCTTGTATCCAAGGATACTCGGGCAACAGCTAAAAAATTTTTAAATACAAACGATTAACCAATCAAAGTGAACAGAAGAATTGTAACTTACACTCTAGTGCCCATTTATAGATTTCAAACAGAAAATTTTCTGGTAATTCCGCGTTTTCATCAAGAGACTCCTTCATTCTAAAAGAATATCATTCTTAAAATAAAATGAATATTCAAAAATAAAAAACCTGAAAATCACCACGACGAATGTGCCTAGTAAAATGATCTACAAGACCCAACAAGAAAATGGCCCTTTATTTAGATTGTTAATTAATTATCTAATGAAAAATTAAACTGGTTAACTTTGAAAAAATAGGATAGTGTACGTGTTATTTTACATAAAAGATGTTCAAAAACCACGTACATTTTCAAATCATAAACAAATTGAGCAATCATTATTGAGTTGCTTTGAGTATTGTGGAGGTGATGACTTTTCTTGTGTTTATTAGAATGTGGGATTTTTGTTAAATTTGGTTAGGTTAGGTTACCTTTGTATCTTTAAAGGAGCTAGAAAACTATGTGAAGAAATGGTTTTCCTGCAAAAAACTTAAACTTTTGGGTGTTTCATTCCCACCAGCCACTAACGCTGGTGGGCGGGCAGTTCCTCCGGACTACGCCGGAAGGTACAGGGGAAGGCCCTCTTCAGCCTCCTTTCAGAAATAGTGGGAATGGGTGGTTGGTGGTTCGTGTGAGAAAGATGAGACGGACGAAATGAAGACAGAAGAGAATGAAAGATTATTTGTGAAATATTATTGCCCCAGCATTTGCCTAAGTGATCCAATAAAACCACATAAAAACTTGGATCGAGTCAGACGGAGCCGGAATCGAACCAGTGTCCTCCCGAATGCTAAGCAATGGTGTAAACCTCTAGGTTATGCCCAACACAAATATATATATATATTCTTCTTCAGCATATTTGACTGCACAACGTATGCTAGGTGTTACAATGACATCTTCTAGTTTATGTTTGACTTTAGTGCAATTCTCAGATTTTATTGCCTTATTTATCTCCGACAATAAGATAATATGTACCTACCTATCTGAATATTTTGTAAATAGATGTTGTTCCCTGGTCGTAAACGCTAATTCTTACGATCAGCTAAACTAATTTTTATTATCTGGTTTTCCCAGATTTCAAATTTCTCAGAGGATTAGTATCTGAATCAGTAAGTTCAGAACCAGATGTACTTTCAGGTATCAACCACTTCTACTTTTTCCATCGTTATTATGGGGGTTGGAGTAAATTGTAAATGTGTGTGTTTAAGGCTCTAGACAGATCCAATTCCCGATTCAGATCGTAATCTTTTAAAAATCTAAAAGATTAACCGAGTTATCCAAAAACAAATTGTTGCTTGTGATTATTTATCATATTCTTTAACCGACTTTATATATATATGCAGATAAAATTGTATATAAAAGTCATGTACAGTCTATTACTTCTTCGAAGTGATTTCACCAAATTAGCAACCGGTGGGATACCGCCAGAACGAACAACATACCTACCAAAATTTCAACGCAATCTACCTATACATGCTAATGGAGACCTTTAACCAAACAAATTTTACCTCATTATGAAATTAGAATAGATCGTTAATGTTAACATTTCTAAATGTCCTTTTACCTTTTCCAATTTGTCGCTCGTTTATTACGGATGATACTTTCTTCTAGCCTACTAATCCACCTGAAAGTAGTAGGCACACAATTTCATAACGTTATAGCCTCGCCTTTCATTCAAATGTTTGCGTGCAAATCAGTTGTTGTATAATATACAATAGCAAATAAAAGCCTAATTTAGAAAGCCGAGAGTGTGTCGAAAAAAATTTATATCTAATGCCTACGTTATGCATAGCTTCCTCATTTCAACTGTGTTCCAATCATGATTATAAGCGATATAAATTAGATTGGTAGGTCTTTAGGTCAATTGGATTAACTTTTACTCAATAAATAGTTACAGGGCGATTCTTGCTCAAAAAACATAATCGTTAATGACAATATATATCTATTATTTTGGCACGCGTGTGTATGTAAACCATGTTTCCAATCGATTTGGCGTGTTATTTTGAGCTATTGTGCAGTGGTCCAGGAACTTTGTTCTTCCAGAACGTTTCACTGTTCCCTGTTAATGGCACCTTCAGTGGTGACTCAGCACCTACCAAATTGCATACATAAGTCACGATTTAGGGTCTATCAAGGCATCACTGAGGATGCTGTTAGCAGAGAACGGCGAACCGTTTGGAAAAGAAGAATTCCACGGAATAAGGCAAAAAAGGCCTAAGAAATATAAGTAATCACTCGTCCCGCAGTCTTTTTTATGAACGTAAAATACTAGTACGTATATATTACCGCTTATAACTCAAGAACTATGATTCTGATAAAATATCGAATAGCATACGTTACTCTAAGAATGTCAATACCTTTCGCATGACACTCGACTATATTTAGGATAGCAATTACCCGTCGTGGCTTCGCCCACAGCACAAGTAATAAACAGTGACAGATACAAATTATGACTCGAAAATGACGATTCTGATAAGGAATCGTTATTAGAATGTCGATATCTCTCGAATAAGATCCCACTCAACTATGTTTAAGGTAACGATTTCCCGTCGTCGCTTCGCTCGCAGGACATGGGGTAAATATACCTCTTATAACTCGAGAACTAGATATTATTCGGTTTAGAAATCGAAGGGTATAGGTAACTCATTCTTAGAACTTTGATTTCATTTTAACGACACCTCACTCGACCCTACTTATTTGAGATAACGATTACCCGTCGAGACTTCGCCCACGTTATAAGTAATAAACATTCAATAACGCTTATAACTTAAGAACTATGATATTGATGAAAAATGAAACAACATACGTCATAAAGAATGCAACTTTAATTCTTAGAACCCTAGCAGAAAGTTATGGCAAAAAGTTCAGGTTTTACATTTCTTAAAAAGTTACTGATATTCGGTTACAGTCTCGTAACAACATGGTCAGTTTTATTTGGTTTTCAATCCCATTATTTGCTTCCAATTTGGATCACCCTGTACACAATATCTTCTGTTATCTATACCTATTCGTGTTTAACTTCTTACAAGAGAATTGCACAATTTTATGGGTTGTTTGCCGCGCAAATGTATGCGAACATTGGAGTTTTATTAAAACCCGGAAGAATCACAAGAACGACTCATATAAACGAAACGTATACGTGAACGCAAATGTTACATAACGAAACAGGTGAGGTTAATAGAATTTGTCGCAGAACGACCAGATATGTTATTGTCTACAGAAATGATCTTTAGAAATACTCATTTGTAAACCACTTTTTTGCTTACACACGGAATCAAATCTAATAAATAAGAAGAAAGGTTTGTTACGCAAGTCCCTTCAGCCTCCTTTCAGAAATAGTG